CCGGGAATAAGGAATTGTATTAAGGAAGGCATGGTTTCTGGAGCCCTCTATATCTGCGGTTTCGGAGTCCCGTGGCTTTGGAAGCTAAAGCTTTCCCAACGAAGGGCTTCGCTCAGTATATAGGCATACGAGGCTTCGCTCTTGCTTGCAAAGCTTGCTTTCCTCTGACTCATTCGGCATGTCATTGAATCAATGCTTTCTTTCCCTCGTCAGGCCTGCAAGCTTCTCTTCGGCGGTTCTTCCAGCCCTCTCACCCAGAAGCTCAGAAGCCAGTGCGGTTCCTTCCCGGCAAGCAGGGCGGTCGGCCCCTCTCTCGCGAGATGAAGCAGATCATCGCTCAAGTAGCTGAAAAGCAAGCTCTCGAACAGAAAGCTCTCGACGAAGCTTTGATAGCTCGAGAGAGCGAAGTGCAAAGCAAGAAGCGGTACTACGGAGGCCGCCCCAAAGGCAGGAGCTCTGGGAGAAGCGATCTCCCAGTTGCCGTGCGGGCAGCTCTCGTGCAGGAGATGGAACTCGCTGTTGCAGGCGACCGCTTCTCTGACGAAACGGAGTTCTTCAGTTACTTCGCCAAGAAGTTCGCTCTGCCGAAGAAGCGAGTCAAGACTCTGTGGCTGCAGCGGAGCTTGGTCAAGAAGACCTCTCAAAAGAACAAACTCTCACGCAAACCCCACCGCTACACTGGTGCCAAGGGCACCAAGAGGTCGCATCTCAAGCGTGCGTACAGAGGCTTTCGTCTGCCAGGAGCGGGTCGGAAGCACTCTTTCCCCGACTTGGTGGACAAGGCTCGTGAGTGGTTCAACGAGATGCGCTCTTACGGGAACCAGGTGCTTCGAGTGGACCTCTACAACTACTACATCCACCTCATGGAGATGGACAAGATACGGGTGCAGGCGGATCTCTCTGATCCGAAGCTGCTGCAGCCAAAGCGGACGCCTCTGCAGGTGAGGCTCTCGGAGCTGGACAAGCAGCTGGCCTCTCAGAAGAAGAGCGACAAAGCCAAAGAGTCTCTGAAAGGTCGTCTCGAGAAGTGGTGCTCTGCAAGGAACTTGAGGCCTCACCTCGTCACCAAGCTCACGCCTCTCCAAGAGCAGTCGAGATGCCACTTGACGTGGCAATCTTTCGACAGGGCTCTCTGGCTTGCTGCCTGCTCTGACGAGGAGACTCTGGGGAAGCACGTCTCTAAGCCAAAGCAGTTCTTGGAACACAGAGCCTCTCTCGCGATCCTTTTCGCCGATCAAATTCCGCTCTGGATAAAGGCGGGTGCCGAGAGGTCTCTCTTCGCCGAGTGGGAGCGAAAACCCACCTCTCAGGCGGCTCTCCGGCAGGACTTGGCTGCTCTGCACGACAAGCAACTCTCTGGGCAGGCGGACGTGGACTCTGGTCTGGTTGTGCAGCACCCAGACTCTTCCGGAGATGCTCAGGGTCAGAGGCAACTCCGCTCACGCCAGGACCTCTCTGCAATGTTTTACTTGGGTCGTTTCTGTTATAATTCATAACCTTATTCCTGCCGGCAGGAGCCTCTCGCGGACCGCTTCCGCCTCACTTACGAAGCCCGGCAGGTCTTGTTGAACTACAACTCTCCGGGAACGCCGCCGACTGGCCTCTGTTACAAAGGTCTCATCATCATCAGCGGGCCTCATGCCAGACTCTCGAACATCTCTCAAGACGGCAAGTGGCTCTGCGATGAGACCTTTGAGTGGAGAGGGAACCTTGTCTCTCACAAGAAGGGCACCTCTGTTGGCAGGCTCATGGAGCCATGGAGAGCTCTGCGAGCCCAGAAGCCGCACCTCTTTGAGCACGTCTCTGTGATGATGCAACCGAGCTCTAATGCCGACAGCATCATACTCTCCTGGGTGGCCCAGGAACTCTCAGAGGCGTTTCCAGCTCTGCTGGTGCAGAGGGACTGCCTGGGAGCCTCTTTCACAGAGTCTGTCTCTGGTGCCCACTTCCTCTCGCATGCACTGGTCTTTCTGTTTTTGTTTCGAGCTCTCAACTCCCAAACCCATTCTGAGGACTTCTCTCGCAGATTCAAGTCTCTGTGCCGCACCTCTATGGCGGAGAGGAGGTCTCTGGGCCAGAAGGCTCTGACAGAGAGCGGCAAATCCTCTGTCTGGGCTGCCTCTGTGGAGGACATCTGCGAGACCATCGTCTCTGCTCAGAAAGCCTGTGCCGAGGATGCCTCTGACTGGGTGCTCTCAGGGCTTCGGCGGAATGGCATGCTGGCCTACCGCCCTCTCGACGGCAAGCTCCAGCCGGCGGAGCTCTCCACGCCCTCTTTCAAGGACCTGCCGCAGGGCTCTGCAAGACTGCGAAGCGAATGGCTGGAACCACGCTTTGGCTGGGTGCAGGATGGAATCCCCTCTGAACCAGACTGGTCTCTGATTCCTGGCACGGCCGCTGCCCAGGAGCTCTTGGACTGGGACGTCGCTCACGGCGACAAGAACTCTGCATCTCTTCTCAAATCAGCATAGCTGTATGTTCTTGAATTAATTAGTCAAGTAATTTTGTCAAACGTCCCCTAACCCGATTTTCGAAGCTCTGAACAAGATTCACCATCCAGGAGGAGGACTACTTCTGTGACATGGACTCTCTGCCACCAACTCTTCGGTGGAACTGCTTCGAGAGCGGCGTTCTCAAGCTCCCGCCAGCTCTCTTGCAGAAAGCCTGGAAGAGGGAAGCTTCTCTCGCGGTGGAGGAGAAAGCGAGAATCCTCGCAAAGAAAGCTGAGAGACAGCTCGTCTCTCAAGCCAAGCGGTCTGTCTCTGAGAAGTTCAAAGAGGCGATGCGGCTCAAGCTGAAGGACATCTCTCGCCAGCAAGCTCTCGCTCTCCACGTCCCTGAAGCAGGGAAGGCGAAAGCCAAAGCGAAGCCTGCCTCTGGGAAGGCCGGCTCTCTGACGAAGGCTCTGAAGAAGGGACTCAAGAAGAGCTCTCTAAAGACAGCTGCCGCTCTGTTGGCGGGCTCTCAGAAGAAGGTCCAGGAGCTGATCTCTGCACCAGAGCCTCCGAAGACTCTGCAAGGCCCTCTCTTCGGCAAGCAGGTCCGCATCGTGGCGGAGCTCTCGCCCTCTCACCTTGTGGGCCAGGAGGGCAAGGTCTCTTCGCACCTCTCTCAGAAGCTGACTCTGCCGAGCTTTGGTCTGGCCTGTGCAACTCTGAACCTCTCGGAGAAGGATGTGATGCCTCTCTCCGAGAGCTGGACAAAGTCTCTGGAGTGGCAGCCTCTGCGGCTCTCCAGACTCTTCAAGAAGGAGGTGCTCTTGAACTGTGGTCTCTGGTGCGAAGACGACTCTTTCGTGCCGGAGCCCGTGGAGGTTACTCTTGCCAAGAAGCCGAAGATGCTCTTGGACCAGCAAATGAATGCTGCCTGGGCTCTCGTCCGCCACCACTTCGAGCAGAAAGGACCCTGCTCGTCTGTTTTGTAAGGACTCTGTCGTTGCATTTAGGACTCGTACTTAATGACTGTTTCTGACAGGAGAGAGCCTCTCGGACGTGTTCTTCGTGGACGCCTTCCTCTCCAGCTTTCTCTTGCAACACGAGAAAAAGGAGTACCTGATCGCTCACCTACAGACGCAATGGCAGGAGCACAACCTCCTCTTCATTCCGATCTACACACGGAAGCCAGACCACTGGACGCTGCTCGTCCTCCAGAAGGGCTCTGAGGGCGAACCGCCCAAAGCTCTCCTCGCCGACTCTCTGAAGAAAGACAAAGCTCCGACAGCATGTGCAAATGAGCTGAAGGGTCTCTCAGCCGACGTGGACAAGTCGCCTCTCACCGACTACCCGACGGTGACCCAGACCTCTGACGACTGCGGCTTCTTCTGTCTCGCCGTGATGGTGGAGTACCTCTCCCTCCGCCGTGGCGAAGGGCCCAAGCAGAGGGGCTCTCAGCACTCTCTAGTGGCGGATCTGAAGACCAAACTGTCGACCTTCACCTCTCAGCTGAAGGCCGAAGTCAAAAAGCTCTCGGACGAGAAGGAGGAATATCTCATGGACCAGGCCGTTCAACTCAAGAAGGCCTCTGACAAGGCGAAACTCTTGGCGAAAAAGGCCGAGGCGGAAAAGGGCGAACTCTCGGCTTTGCAGAAGGCTGCTCTCAAGGTCCTGAAGGAAGGTGCTCCACCGGATGTCTCTGATTTGGGCAAAGAAGCCCTCGTGGACATCGAGCGGATCAAGACTCTCGGAGATCCAGGGGTGTGCTCTCGCTGTCACTGGCAGAGCGGCTGTGCCTCTTGCGATGTCTTTAAGTGCACTCGCTTCCACGTGCGAGAGCTCTGCCGCACTCTGGGCAAGAAGCCCCCAGCTTGGGCTCTCTGATCGCGAAATTTCTCTGCGCAAGATTGAAAATCGCAGCTGAAGCTCTGCAGTTTCTCTCTCTCTGCAGACCTCAAACCATCGCAGTAGCTGCATTTTCTCTCTCTCTCTGCAGACCTCAAGCCCTCGCAGTAGCTGCATTTTCTCTCTCTCTGCAGACCTCAAGCTCTCGCAGTAGCTGCAGTTTCTCTCTCTCTGCAGACCTCAAGCCATCGCAGTAGCTGCAGTTTCTCTCTCTCTGCAGTCCTCAAGCTCTCGCAGTAGTTGCAGTTTCTCTCTCTCTGCAGACCTCAAGCCATCGCAGTAGCTGCAGTTTCTCTCTCTCTGCAGTCCTCAAGCTCTCGCAGTAGCTGCATTTTCTCTCTCTCTGCAGACCCCAAGCCATCGCAGTAGCTGCAGTTTCTCTCTCTCTGCAGTCCTCAAGCTCTCGCAGTAGCTGCAGTTTCTCTCCTTTTCTCTCTCTCACACAACAACACACAACAAGAAGTATCTAATTTCGGGGATTTTGGGCCGGAAGGTTTTGTAATTGAGGGGGGGTTTATAATTGAGTTCCGGGGGTGGGGTTTTGTAATTGAGGGGGGATTTATAAAAAGTAGGTTAACATTAATGGGTAATTAACGCAGGATTTATATCATCAACTGCGTGTCCACCTTTCCCTCCTTCGGCCCGGAAGCCTTGTCCTTGCAGGAGCGGCTCGGACGGATGGTGCTGCCACTGGGCAGCCGACTTGGCAAAGCGGCAGAGGGCAGCAGCTACGTCGTGCCTTGCGGGGTACTTAGAAATAATTTTTAGTTTTTGGTTATTATAATCCCTAAGAAACAGCTAAAATTGTAATTGTTGCTAGGGGTCTAAGTTCAGTATAGGTGAGCCCAGACAACTTCGTGAAGATGGTCTGGATCGCCTTGCGCGTCGAGAGCAAGGTGCCGGTAGTGATCATGGGCGAGACCGGTTGTGGAAAGACATCTCTCATCCGGCACCTGGCAAGGCTTCTGAGTGTGGATTTCAGGTGCCTCAACATCCATGCGGGCACTTCCTCCGGGGAGATTGTCCAGTTTGTTCGAGGTTGTGCGCAGGAGAGCAGTGACGAGAAGCCTGTCTGGGCTTTTCTGGACGAGGTGAACACCTGCGAGCACATGGGTCTCATCACAGAGGTTCTTTGCCATCACCGCGCCCTTGGCGAGGTTCTGCCCGACAGCCTCACGTTGCTTGCAGCTTGCGCTCCGTCCTGTCAGCCCGGTCTTGTTTGATGTTGAACTTTTCTAAATTTTGCTTGCCAGCGAACATAGTATATTGACCAGTGGCGGCTGTTTTGGTTTCGCGGTGTTTCTAATCCTCGCCCTCTCCCCATCGTCACTAGCAGCAGCGTCATCAGCAACAGCTTGATTTGATGAGACAGTTCACCAGGGGCTCCGGAGTTACAAGAGAATTGGTGTCCCAGATGCGCCCAGCCCTACTTAGAGGATCATAGGACTTAGTAAGTAGGGTTATAAGTGCTTAACTAGGGTTATAAGTAGCTATACCTATAATTACCTTACTTATAACCCTACTTACTAAGTCCCCTGATCCTCCAAGTGAAAGCATGCGTCTCCCAGGCAACCCTTATCGCAAGAAGCCTCAGCTCTCCGGTCATGAACAAGCTGCGCAGCAAGCGCTGACTCTCAGCGCCCCTGGGCTCGAGGGCTTTCTTCCCTTATAGGCCTTGACTTCCTGAGCCTGTTTTGTGGGCTTGACCCAGAGAGCTTAATACCCCTTATTTAAGGAATATGGCTTACATTATACATGGCTTCATATTATGATAGAAGCTATATTCCTTAATTAAGGGGTACTGGCCATGGTTCGATGACCAAGGACAGCAGTCAGAGAAGAAGCCACTCCGAGTTGGTGTACAGCGTTCAGGCTGGATCCTGTTGTCTTCTCTTCTTGCGTCATGAAAGCCACTCATGCCTTGAAACCCACGGTCCTGCTGAAAAGATCTGAGCAAAGAAATGGCTCCAAGATTTCGGGTTGAAACCCTCCGCAGAAACGATGGGCTTCTGAAAGTTATGCGGGATTCTCACGAGGAGCTGCCAGAAGCCTTGTACGACTACCTGTACGATTTTGGATTCTTGGGCCAGCCCGAAGAAGAGAGCTACAAGGCTGTTCAGTGGTAAGCTTTTTTACTTTCAGGTTTCTGGGTTCCTATTCCAAAATAAGAAGCCTAAACAAGTATATACTTTTTCCCAGTGGGCTACTGAACAGCCTAGGCTACGTGCGATCGATGGTCAGCCAAAAGTTCCAAACGCGGGGCCCTCAGGACCCCTTAATTAAGGAATATGGCTTAAATTACCTATGGATTCCTTAAAGGGCTCCTTAACGAGGGTTCTATAAGGGAATTAAGTAATATGGCTTAAATTGTATAGGGCTTCAAATTACGATTTAAGCCATATTCCTCAATTAAGGGGTATTGGGCTCTCTGGGGAGCGTCAGGAGCCGATGCTAGCTCCGGTTAATGATTTGGTTGGTTGTCAATATTCGGGTCCCTTTTTGGGTCCTTAAAATGGTACGGCACCTAATATTTAGGCTACCCAAAAAGGGGCCATAATTCTGACAACTACCCAGAAAAGTCCTGGATTACCAAAATGACTCTGGATTGTGGGAATTTTGTGTATACTCCTTACTATGGGTAATGCTGGATTTATATCATCAAACGTCTGTCCCTAAACAACAGGATATCCATGAAAGAAGATTTAATTTACACACAGAACCACCATCTTTCTGCAAGCTGATGCCGGTTCTAGAGGTCAAGAAACACTGCGAAGTGACTGCTCAGGTTGCCTCAGCACCTAGCCAACTGGCCTGGCTGTCTTACGGAGATGATTGTGGCTTCGCAGCGGTTCACCGCCCAGAATCAGCCCGCTTGCCTGCTCAGCCTTCGCGACGTGAAGCGCTGTGTGGAATTGGTTTATTGGTTCAAGGACGGCTTTGATTCAAACATGCTCATGTCGCATGCGCTCTGGGTTGAGTCGCTTTTCCCGTCGTGCTCAGCCTTACCCTGTGAGTCTTGTGAGGACCACCTCAAGTATCGGACGGAGGCAAGACGATGGGATGGCGCACGAGGTGCAGCAGCGACAAGCGACGTAAACTCGGAGATGTTTCTGCGAGCCGTCTTGAACGGGCTCGCAGTGTCATACCACTGTCGCCTCCCCACGCGCAAGCTTCGATTTGACTATCGCCGGCTGATCGCCGAGATCCTTGCAGAGCGTCGCGTGCAGCTGCCGCAGAAGGGGGGGTGGACCAGGAACGGGTGGACGCCGTGGGAACCCGAGTCAGTCGTGAACTGGTTGCTCAAAAACGAGACTATGCCTCGGTTAGAAACGATCGATGTACAAGACGCCACCAGTCTCTAGCTTGTTCTTCTGGATGGCCTTAGAACGGATAAGCATACGTTGCAAGCCTTCAACAGCCAAGGAGATGCATCAGTACATGGAGCACATGCGCATTCCTGAGATGACAGCAGTGCCTTAGCTGCTGACTCGGCAATCTGTACCTGCTGGAGCTTTGCTGGGACACCTTCCAAAACACACGCCGCTTAAAGACCCGCAGGCTCAACCCCGAATCTTCGAAAACCCTAAGGCCTTAAAATTCTGAGACCACAACAAACAAAGCTTGGCAAAAGTGAGGTGAATGAAGCATTGCTGGAAAACGTCTTCGCTGGGGCCTGAGAGTGCCCGGAGTCGCTTTGGGCTTTGGGGCATTAAAGGTGGGTTTTCTGAAACTCCTATGTAAAGTCGACGCATTGTTTAGGAATCCTTAGTAATCGGAAATCAAAGGTCTAGCTTCTCCGAGGCCTGGATAGGAGCTAAGAGAACAACACATCGTAGCAATAGTTGCATTTAGCGACACAGAATCTGTAGTGGCCAAGATTGTCATACTAGACAGTGTAAAACATGTGCCCGAATGCTAGCCGTGATAGGTTCAGCTCCTACACCTTACATCTCCCTAAACCTTACCAGTGCTAGTACAAGGGTCTGAGGCAGTAATAGAATTTTTTCCTCGGGCCCCTCAGTTGTGCCCTTTTGCCCGTTTTCTCTTTGGGTTCCCTTATTTGAATAAAGCCGAAAAGTAGCATAATGGACACCCTTTCTATAAAGAGGCTTTTCAGGAACCTAGATTAGGTCATGATGGTCTGCATCCTGAATCGCATCCCCGTCTTTGTCGTGGGAAAGCCGGGCAACTCCAAGTCTCTGGCCCTGCGCAGCTGGCTACCCTATTGGCAGATTAGGCCCTAAGGTAAAAGCCAGAAAGTTGGAATATGATTATCCTAAGCCCTTTATGGTAAATTATAGGGTATCCTACCCTGAAACCATATTCCAACTTTCTGGAGTCCCCTTTAATATAGGGGCCTTAATAATTTGAAAAGGGTTTTGGGGCCATGTATACTATAATAAGGAACCCCAAGATAGTTTAGGTAATGATAAAGGCCCCTTCGGACTTTCGGGTTTAGGGTTTTTATGGCTCAGGGTTTGGGGTGTTACTGTTGTTCTTCCCGGGTTTTTTTTTGCTCATCCCTTAGGGTTTCGGCTGTTGGGATCTGTTCGTTTTCCAGTGCCAGCCTAGGCATCATCAATGCCAACCTCAGAGGTCCTGATTCCGAGGACTCGCACGAAAAGCCTGAACGCTCTCAGGTTACGTAGAATTTGGGGTTTTGGGTGCCCGGGTTTCGGGTTCCCAGATTTGGGGTTTAGGCTTTAGGCTTTCAAGATTGACGAGTGTGGTACACTACTGTTGATGATATAAATCCTGCACTACCCATAATAAGGAATATGCCATTATTCCCATAGTTTAGGTTCCTTGATTCCTTAACGTAATGCAGGATTTATATCATCAACCGTAGGGATTGTGCCATTATTCCCATAGTTTAGGGTCCTTAAGGTAATGCAGGGTTTATATCATCAACCGTAGGGGTTGAGGGTTTAAGATCTGAAGGTTTGGGCTCTGGGGGTTGACGGTCGGTGAGTTACCTAAAGGGAACTCCAGAAAGTTGGAGTATGGTTTCAGGGTAGGATACCCTATAATTTACCATAAAGGGCTTAGGATAATCATATTCCGAGTTTCTGGCTTTTACTATACCCCGGCCCGAAACGAAACGACAAATTCCAAACCCTTAGATCCGAAGCCCAGAAACTTAGATCCCCAATACCTAACGTTTAAACATTTTGGGTTTTTACAGTTAAGTAGGAATCGGAAAGTTTAACCTTTTACTTCTGTGGCTTGTTGGGGTGGTAAGGAAAGGACTTTCTGAAGCTTCGGAGGTCCCATTACGGCCCCTAAACCTTAAACCCTGAACCCACAAACCCCAAACCTTCAACCCTAAACCCTAAACCTAAACATGTCAAATGGGTGGTTGTCAAAAATTGGGGTCCCCTTCTCGGTACCCTAAGTAATAGGACCCGTATTCTATTGAGGACCCAAAAAGGGACCCTAATTTTGACAACCACCCAAATTTCAACCCAGAGCCTCCCAAAACCCCTTAATTAAGGAATATACCTTAAATTATAAAATAGGATCCCTTGTATGATTTAAGGCATATTCCTTAATTAAGGGGTTTTGGAGGCTCGGGGAACTCCCGAAGTCGCAGGATGAACTCTGGAGGAGGCACCCCCGCCTCTACGTGATCTCCTACCAGGGCTCTGAGGCTCCGAGCAACAGAGGGTTTCCTACTGTTGATGATAGAAATCCTGCATTCCCTTAAGGGCCCTAAACTATGGGAATTATGGTACATTCCCTATTATGGGTATTGCAGGGTTTCTATCATCAACCGTATGGTTTTCGTAACGACTTGATGTAAAACTCCCAAGGAAAACCGTTTGCTCCATATATGTTTTGATGCAGAAAAGCAGGGAATCCTCGTTCTCAGGGACTACATGAGTGAGCGTGCATAGTGGGGGCGCCGCTCTCTTGGATCCATATTATAGAGTCGATATGCTAGGCATCGATTTGGGATAATTTTCAACTTCCCTGATTTATACACATTTGTGGGGGCCTGTTGAAGTCGACGCCTGGTATAGACTTCAAGTCTGCAGGTGTCGGCTTTTGTGCTGCGTGCCCGGGGCATGAGCCCTGAACCCTGACACCGACAGAGCCTCAAAGTTAGTGCTGGGGCCTTGATAACTGCCCATACTCTTTTGGGGTTCCCTACTATAAGTATAGTATCATACACCCCAAAAACCCTATTCTAATTATTGAGGCCCCTATATTCGCAACCTGCTTCTGTGATTGACGCAAGCATCGCTGTCGGTGTGAGTTCAAGTTTAGGGGCTCCGGATGTCAATGTTTGTGCGTTGGGCTAATATTATGTACGATATAAAACATGTAATAACATATACTAAACATAAGATGGGTTATCTATAATATAATGCCAGGTGTCCACGAGTGAGGGCATCACCAAAGTCTTCGAAAAGGCGAAGCGCTACAGGGAGCCTTGGCCAGGGCCGTAACAAGCATTTTAGTAGGATCCCCAACAGGATTTAAGCTATATTCCCTCAGCAGATCCCCAGTCACCAGCATGACGCACAGCTCGAAGAATTCAAGAGCGAATAGTCGTGTCTGCTGTGAATGTTATGATTACGATATCACTCAGACTGTTACGAATCGCAACACCACTCTTGTCGTTCACAGCAACCAACCTTTCAAGGAAAGCCGGGCGAAGGATGCCTTGATCCTCGTGCACTTTGACGAGATCGGGCTAGCTGAAGCCAGTCCGAACAACCCGCTCAAGGCAACGTGGGGTTGGCTTGGGATTGGAGTTTGGTGAGCAACAAGACGCACCCCCAAAAAAAAGCATTCAGGAAGGGCCTGCAACTGTTTGCCCGGGCGGGTTTTTGCATGGATACAAGTGTACGTACATTCATGCAAAGAATCAGGTACCTACCTACCTACCTACCTACGTATCCACTTACGTACATATGAAGCAGATGCACAATCGCCCCTGCCCAACCGGCAGAACACACCTTCCCTCAGCATTGTCCCGTGCGTTTGGTCGACACGCGATGTCGCTAGGTGCAGTAATGCATAGAATTCGCTTACGGATGGCTCATGACGGCTTGTTGTCGCCGGAGTTGCTTGAGTTTCGTGACCCGAGAAAGTATGGCTGGGCAACAGAAGCTGTGTAGGATAGGCTGTTGCAGGATCATGACTGTTGTGATGTTGGAGTTTAGAAGCACTGCTTTTCAGCCGATTTCCAACTCTGGGAATCTCTGTCGCTGTTCGTTGTGTGAGCGCATATGCACGTGCATGCCTGCTAACAGAAGCAACACCTTCTCGCGCGGAAAGGTCGGAACTATTGCGAACACATGCAACAGCGAGCAGCAAAAGTGCAGTCGATAAGAAGGAGTGAGCATATCTGGATAGTGCTCGTAGCGTCGATCATGCCCCTATCAGCAGCGACAACGACTTATAGTGTAACACTCTATCAGTACCTATCGCGAGCATGCTCAGGTGCTGCATGCACACCTCGAGCCTGGCTACCCGAAGGACACAGGGGATCATGACCACTGCACGACCTGCCCAGACTTCTGAGGTTTCAGGCCAAGGATCAGGAGTGCTCTGCGTGGGAATAATGCCGTAGCCCTTAACAAGTCGACAGCTTAACAGGACAGGCCGGACTATGCCGTGGTGGGGTTGTCCAACTTTCCTTTGGATGCCGCCAAGATGAATCGTGGCATCACCCTGGTGCGACCGCCGCCCCCCACCACAGATCTGCAGAAGACCATGCAGACACTGTGCGACCCAGCTTTTCCGAAGATTACGAGGTTTGCGTGGGATTTCAACCTGGTCATTCAGGATGAGGTTTCCTTGCTTGTACTATGGCACAGATGCATTCAAGATATTTGCGTCCCGAGTCTCAACCTCAACATCCCAGAAGCTTGCGTCACGACTGCTGAGGCAAGGGCTTGACGGACAAGTTGGACCTTGAAAAACTTGCGAAAGCATATTACCAGTACTACGAGGAGTTGATGGGTCGTGGTGTTTCATGCCTGCTTGGATGCTCTGTCTCACTTTTTTGCCCAACATAAAATTGAACGCCAAGCCTGTAAACGGGGATAGCCGCTTGGAGGACCATGGGACTTAGTAAGTAGGGTTATAAGTCAGGTAACTATCGCTATATCTACTTATAACCTTTATTAAGGCACTTATAACCCTACTTACTAAGTCCCATGGTCCTTTAAGCGGGGCGGCGGCTCTGGAAGGAGCAGCCTGTCCAAGACTACCATGGATTGCGAGACTTCTACTTTTTCGTCAAGGCCTTGGCGAAGAAATGGCCGAAAGATCACAAGACGAGGCCTGCTCCCTGGGGTTCGACCTCGGGGTCCTTGCAAGTTCAACCCATCTTGGTCGGAGTCGATTG